TCCCTTTCAGAGTCCATGTCTGTGTGTTCAAGATTATTATTTGATCTTACCACACCTAGTCATATTCAGTTCACATCAGGACTTGAAAGGTTATTATTTTTCACAAGAATTCAAAGGTAGATTTAAGTCTGTTGATCACAAGTGAGCAATAGCTGTTGATTACAAAAAAATCTGAGCAGACTTAAAACTTGCATAAAACATGAAATAGCAATGCTGACTTAACTTGCTGACAAACACATGGGAAAGTCCACAATTTACTTGCAATCCTGCTAAACTGAAGAGCTTATCTCCCATTTCCCTTCTCTTTCCAAACATCAAGAAATATGTAGAGTTAACATAAACCAACTTCTGGCAATATTCTCCAACTTTTGGAATGAAGCAAAAAGGAAAAACATTTCCGTTTTGTTGTATTTTATTACATGATTCACATGATGCTGAACCTCTGCATGCACCATGCCTACTGATAAACACGGGTCAAAAGTGTCCCCTATTGGAAATAAATATTACTAATCTAAAAAAATAGAATAATTAAATACATATTAAGAAACAGGAGGAATGCCAAGATGATTCTTCTGGTTTTACCAAGAGTAACTAAAGCCTCTTAATGTTATACTATGCAAGCCCTAGACAAGGGAATGTGCATTCTCATGTTAAATGTTCAGAAAATCTTGGATAAAGGAAATCTACATGTCAGAAAGCAGAAATAAGCTGAAATGATAACTGTGGTCTACTTGAATAAACAGGTTATGTTCCATCCTAGAATGAAAGTGCCATTTCAGTACATTTTGTCGCAAAATGCTCCCTTTGTATGGCACATCGTCAGTGTTGCTTCTCCACTGGTGATATATAGAGACATTTCTTCTGAACTCCCTATGTTGTCCAGCTTGAAAGGGCTTTAAGGGGAGGCTAAATTAGGCCAGAGAGGATTCTCTATGTCAGAAGAGTTTCATTTAAGTTTGCCTTGGGATTTTGCCTTATGGTATCAAAATAATTCTGCAAATCACTGCTCAGTTTGTTTACAAAGCACACAATGAAACAACAAATACTGAAATATGATTCAGCGTCCCCTCCAATTTTAAAACTTTGTATTAAGGTATTGAAAAGCAAGGTACAATTTAAAAGAAGAGCTGGAGAGAAGATAGCATAAAAGTTAAATTTATATTCCTTCAAGGCTCCCTTGTGCAAAGAAGTGCATTAATCTATCACTTATATTTCTCAGAGTGGAATCATTCTAAATTCATCTGTATGTTTCTGGTTTGCTTTATGTAATGGCTTTCTATTATTTGTACTTGTGCAAATGGTAGGCAATCAGTAATTTATTGGGCAGGACAGAAGGACCATTTTTTGAAAATTATTCTACTTAATATCATTAATTAGCTGCTAGAACATTCTTATTAATACAAGAATAGATGTGAACAGATAACAGTCTCCAATTCTTGACTGCTAGACATTATAAGATATATTATTTACTTTGTAAAACATATTAATAGAATTTTGGAATTACAGAGGAATAAATAAAACTCAAAGTATCCAACGCTCCAACATTACTTTTTATGGTATGCTCACTGCTATTAATGTAACTCTTTTCAAATTTAGACAACTGCAACTATTTAAAATTTTTTCTGTTATGAAGCTGAAATTTTTAAAAATCCAATGAGGTTTTATTGGAAGTGAAAAATGAAGCTTTCAGTGAAAGAGATATAGACTTGGCTAATATGTAACAAAAGCTAGCTAAAAATATAATTCAAAATGATAACAGATAGATTTGATTGTGATTATAAGGGGTGAAGGCAGAATCAAAAATTCCAGCCACAGGCCAGATGCTGTAATCCTAGCACTCTGGGAGGCCAAGATGGATGAATCACTTGAGCTCAGGAGGTCTGAGCAAGAGAAAGATTCTATGTCTACTAAAAGTAGATAAATTAGCCAGGGTTTGTGGTGGGTGCCTGTAGTCCCAGCTATTCATGAGACTGAGGCAGGAGGATTACTTGAGCCCAGAAGTCTGAGGTTGCTGTGAGCTATGCTAGAGCCATGGCACTCCTTCCTGATCAATACAGTCAGACTCTGTCTGAAAAAAATAAATAAATAAATAAAAGTTCCTGCCACATTACCTGCTTTCTTAATAGTGCCTACAATGAATTGAAAATGTTGAGTGGTTTCAAGAACAATTTTAATCTACTTATTTCTTGTGACTACAATTTTATCCATTGGGATCAATGACTTCTATTTATCTGGACTCTCAGTGGCCTAAATGGAGAAATAGGTGCAAGGATTGGGTGGTGAAGATGAAAATGCATTCACATTTCAAAAGATTACTGCTTCCTTCTGACAAATGAGACATATTTAACATAGTGGAAAGTGTGATATATAATCATAAAATTAAAAAAGGAATCTTAAATCTTTCTTTTCAGAATTTTAAATAATGGAGATCTTAAGTCTATCTTCTCTGAGGATCATGTTTGAACTTGTGTTTAAGCCCCATGTTTAGCCCTCAACAAATATTTATGGTTAGGATTAGTAATGATATCCAGAAAGATCTTGAAAATGAGGGCCTGGCTGTGCACATAAACTACCTGAAAATTTAAAGGTTGGAGAACATCTCCAAAGAAAGAAAAATTTAGGGTGAATATGAAAAGAATATAGCACCATAACTGAAAAAACTAAAGCCAGTCCTGAAGTGCAATATATGCCTAATAGTGAGAGAGAGACCACACAAATACTTTATCCAGGAAGGCTGGTGATTGAGCCCTATTCCATAGCTGATGGTTTGGGATAGAGTGAGGGGAGCAAACAGTTCCAGAGAATGGGGAAAAAAGATAGTCCAATTTCTACAGAACATATTGACAAATCTTGGGGAGAACATAATCCATCCCTCTTGGAACACTTATAAAGGATAAACCTTGCTCTCTGTCTCTCCCGCTTTCTCTCCCTCTCTTTCTCTGCCCTTCATCCTCTTCTTCTTCCTCTCCTCCACATAGGACCCTTATTCTCTGCCCCATAAAGGAATGCTGACTCTGGGTTGGCCACGTACTTTCCCTAGCAGTTAGAGGAAGACTTAAATCATGATAATTAATGTCTGACCCAGAAATGTAAGTGATTAATGAAAAAGAAATGGTTTATTATGTAATTGAAGTGAAATAATGACTCTAAAAGACAGGGACATTTGTTTCTAGCTACCAGGATGCTAACTTACTGGCAATTTGCACATTGTCTAGAGGATCTTTGTAATAAGCCTTGCAGCCTCTAGAGACTATGAAGTCATTGTAATATC